GATATCACCACTAAAACACTGAATTACATTCATTTAACCATCTATAAAGCATTAAGGTACTAGATTGTCCAAATCTAATAACAAAACAAAAGAAGAATAATATGATTCAAAATTCAGGAACCTAAAACTGCAGTGACAATTCAAAAATTCAAAAATCAGGATCCTAAAAGTAGAGTGCAATTGAAAATTCTTGCAGTGATAAATTTAGTAATTAACATAATTTATAAACTATATTAACAAGAATTAACTATTACATTATTGTTAACAAGCAATAACATAATTCTGAAGGGAAGGGGAATGAGAATAAGAGGAGACTAGCAAAGAGTAGGGGAAGTTAGGGGAGGCGCATGAGAGCAAGAGAAGGTAGAGGTAGGGGCTCAGAGGAGGGGGAGGCAGTGAGGCTGACAGAAGCAGATGGCATGGGCTAACAGCAGCAGGGGGTGGAGGATGGAGAAGGAGGGTGGGGGTTGCCGAGAAAAAGAAAGGCAGAGAAGGGGGGCTGCCGGGAGAATGAGAGAGAGGCATAGAGGACTGCCAAGAGAAAGAGAGAGGCGAAGAGGGCTGCCGAGAGAGAGAGGTAGAGAGGAAAGGTGGGGAAGGGAGCATATAGAGAGGCACGACAGAGAAAAGAGAGGGGGTTGGGGACATGAATCATAGGGAAGATGAAGAGAGAAAGCGAGCGAGAAGAAGGGGGAGGGGGGTCACTGCACTACCAGAGAGAGAGAAAGAGAGAGAGTAGGTAGGTACTGCCTGGAGAAGGTGCCATCACTATCCTACAGGAGAGAGAAGTCACAGCCACGCTGGGAGAACGTCGATCGTCGATCATCAGTCAACAATTGCCTTGCAAGCAAGAGGGTCATTTGATCGCCAACTGCCTTCCATGTAACAGGATCGGATGATTAGGGTTTTCCACCAAGAGGAGATGTCGAGGGTTGCTATCACATAAGGGGCGAGGGTAGCCTTATTTACCTAGTCAAACCGAATTGATTGAATTGGGTTAAAATCAGGCTGTGATCAAGTCCGAACATGTGCCCAAGCTCAAGTGCACACCTAGGGGATGCTCAAGTCAAATCACCTACCTGGGTTTGACTAGTCTCTCAGGCCTCGCCTCAACTAGGCGCCTAGGCAAGCACTCGAGCACCTAGTGACATCACTGACTCCAATTCCTATGTAACTAAAATTTAAAGCTACTAAATGTCTCTTCCTTAGTAGTGCATGTTTAGAGATGAGCTATAAAAAGATGACATTAACATCACAAGTTGCAAGTGTCAATGGTGAATAATAGCTTTATTATAATCAACTTTATAATTCCATTAACAAATTCTACAAGAGCATTATCATGTGCAAATAAATTAGGCAAATGCTGAATTATAAAACCAAACATATGCCTTTTACAGTATCAAGGATCAACAATTATACAGAGTAGAAAATTATGATCATCGAAAGTGGATTTAAGCTACTCTAAACCACACAAATATATGCATATCTATGATTGTGTTCCTGTAGTTGTTTTCAAGAATCCTATGGGTGAAAAGGTAAATATTTGTTTTGGGTTAAGATGAACTAATGGCTTTTGCTAGAATTTTTCTTAACCGAATAGAACATTAGTTTTGTAGAAATCTGATGTCAATGCAATACATATAGTAGATTTCACGCAGAACTACAATATACTTCACCAAAAAAGTGAAACAAGCTGTTGATATTGAGACAACTCACTGACGAAATGGACATTCACTAGAGTGGTATATTACACTGAAACCCTATAAGAAACCAAATCAGAGACATTTTCATGATTACACCAAATTGGAAACAAACTAATCGCAAAGCAAATGCCATACAGACTGAGAGTAATACTTATCAGGAAAGTAGTACATGACCAGTTTAAACAGTATATTAATATTCACCTAGGGAAGGAAAATGTTCAGGAAATGCATTAGACAAAAAAAAAATTCTAATTCTTACATGAAACTACGTTGGCAGGATATCAAAGCCCATAATCTCAGTATGCAGCAACATATCAGGTGGAATGCATTAGAAAAAAAAAAAGTATCTTATTTCATTTAGAAAATTAATCATATACTGGCTTGAATGAGATGCAAAGATACTGTCACAAGGTTTTCAGAAAAGAATGATGCTTCAGGCAAATTCCAACAATATAAGAATGTTAAAAAAAGATAATTCTTCCTAAAACTTTTCACTGCCATCATCATAAAGCCATGGTGAAATTCCTGTCAAGTCAGATAATTCCCTAATTTCATAATTTTGCTGCTCAGAGTGGAACTCTAAATCAGCAAATTGCAACAATAATATAAACTTCTAAGTAGGTAACCTCCGCCATCCAATCGACTCAAAGATGAAATCTTTAGCAACTAGAATCAAGTCAGATAATTACCTAATTTCACAATTTTCCTGCACGAAGTGGGACTACAAATCAGCAAATTGCAACAATAATAAAAACTTCTAAGTAGGTAACCTCCGCCATCCATTCGACTCAAAGATTAAATCGTTAGCAACTATAATGCAGCAACATATCGCCATCCAATCGACTCAAAGATGAAATCTTTAGCAACTAGAATGCAGCAACGTATCAAATACAGCGCAGAAAAACACAAGTATTTACGTTACTGTCCAGAATGAATATCGAACAGTTTAATAACCGTAAGAAAACTATTTCTTTTGACACAGGAGAAGAATGAAATGGAAAAAAAATTGGCAGTCAATACACATCTTGACGTTAAATAGGTCAAAAAGGATGAACCGAAATGGAAGAATTAGAGGAAGGAGAGATGGATGGGATACCTTGGGATTATTGATGTGGGCGTTCTTGCGGATCTGGGCGGAGATCGCGGAGCGGAGATGGGAGACGGTGACGACATCGTCGAGGTTGTAGATTTCCATGACGGAAGGGAGGGATCGGCAGGCCATCTTGAAGAATTCGAGCGTCCGCTTGCGAGCCTCCCCCACGCTCGCCGAGTTCGGAGGAACCTTCACCATCTTCAACGCCGCCAACGCCGACATGATCGCTTCTTTCTCCCCCGTCACCCCACTCCTCACCTATCGATGGATTTCCCCTACTGTGCTTTCGATCATCCCTTTGGAGAGAGACCGATCGGAAAACCTTTATAGAAGCAGGCCGAAAGCCCATAGACATTTCATTATAACTAGGCCGAAAGCCCAAAACAAATCATAAAATGAAATAGATCCCTATAATTTGGGAAAATTCCCTTTAAATTTGGTTTAGTGTATAAATTCCTAAAAAATTAAAAATTTGTAAATATAAAATTGTAGAATGAAGGATGTATATGCAATATCCATACATTTAGTGGGATAAGCATAAGCTAGAAGAAAATTAAATTGAGCAGTCTTATTATGCTATATTAACAAATTGATGAAATATGATCTACAAATTATATCAGAAATTAAAAAATTATCAAAAACTATAAATTAAATTTAAAAAAATTATCCTATTCATTTAAGGATTAATACAGTAAAGAGTTATTTCTAATTCATAACTATGATATTTCTTGATTTTGATCAATTAAAATTATATTCTAATCTGAAGAAGTTAATTTTGTAAAATTTTAAAAATATATATTTTTATTTCAATGACATTCTTGTCTTTATTATGGTAAATTCTATATCCTAATTATTTAAACTCAATTATGTTTTACTTTTTTTGTATATCAACTAAAGTGTTATGAGTAACGGATTCGATTGATAACCATGCAAAATTATATTGGAGTTGTATCTGATAAATATATATTCAATGTTTAAATTAGTAGAAGCTTTGGGATGATTTGAAAATATAATGAAAGAATTGTAAGATTTTACAGTAAAAGAATTCTAATAGATAAACCAATGTGTTGTTTGACTAATTAAAGAAATATTTTGGTTCACCTCCACACTTGAGTCTCCATCCAAGAAAGAAGTTGTACCTCTATTTATCAATGACTCCTTCGATACTTAGATGCCTTATACTTGGTAATCTTGTCGGCCTTATATTAAAGCTGAATGGCTTAATAATCTAAAATTTATTCTTCTTATGATCTAAAACCTTATTCCTAGTTTTCATTCACTACGATTATATTGCTAAAATAAAATCTATAAAAGGAAACTCAAATAATAAAATGAGCAAACATATAAAAATCAAATAAAAGTATGATTAGATTATTATAATATTATTTTTATATTTTATGATAAGATTATTAATAATCTAATTAACTACCTTATTAAAATATTAAATAGGATTAAAGTCCTTGTGTCATTAAGACAAATTTTCCTAAAGAAGCACATTGGTGAGCAAATAGAGAATTTCTTTCTAACTCTATCTCTACAGTGATTATAGAAAAAGCATAACTTTAAATGATAATTTTTATGAGATAATAGTAAGCCAATTGATTAGTTAAGAAGCACATTGGTGAGCAGATAGAGAATTTATCTCTAACTCTATCTCTATAGTGATTGTAGAAAGAGCATAGCTTTAAATGATAATTTTTACGGGATATGATTATATACACATCCATAGTATAGTATGAACTCTCCAATAAGAGAGATTTCATATGTTGTCACAATTAGGAATCTATATAATTGTTTCATGAATAAATAAAATACTCATGTCTTATCACTAACATATAATAAAATATTTATTCTATATTTAGGTCTTCGAAAAGATAGGAATTGACTGTAAAGTAAATGCAACTGTTAGAATTCACTTTCTTAGTTATCTGTTCTTTATTTATCTGTTAGAAGTCACTTTCCTCCCACTACGTTGCAATGGATGTTGTTGACAGTATTCACCGACAACATCGAGATAAACTGGTGTTTCCTGCATAATTTATGATTCCTGCCACCAACAATCACTTCGTCAAGTAATTATTTATCTTTTAGTTGACCGACTGTGTCATTGTTTATCCTCAAATTCATGGATCAAGATTTACAAGGGGAGCGACCTTGAATGGATCTTTGAGGTAATTCCCACTATTTGCCATCAGAGAGGAAGAATGGCTGGTGTCACATCACAGGCAGCGGCGGTGTTCTCCCTGGTGAATGAAGTCTTTAACCGGTCCATCAATTTGATCGTCGCGGAACTCCGGTTGCAGTTGAATGCGAGAGCCGAGCTGAACAATCTGCAGAGAACACTATTGAGGACTCACTCTCTGCTCGACGAGGCAAAGGCGAGGCGGATGACTGACAAGTCTCTCGTGCTGTGGCTGATGGAGCTCAAGGAATGGGCCTACGACGCCGACGACATCCTCGACGAGTACGAGGCCGCAGCAATCCGACTGAAGGTAACACGCTCGACCTTCAAACGTCTTATCGATCATGTGATTATAAATGTTCCATTAGCGCACAAAGTAGCAGACATCAGGAAAAGGTTGAACGGGGTCACTCTTGAGAGGGAGCTAAATCTGGGTGCGCTGGAAGGGTCGCAGCGGCTTGATGCCACAGAAAGAGGTGTGACCACTTCTCTTCTGACTGAATCTTGTATTGTCGGGCGAGCTCAAGATAAGGAGAATTTGATTCGGTTGCTGTTGGAGCCCAGCGATGGGGCGGTTCCTGTTGTTCCTATAGTTGGATTAGGAGGGGCAGGGAAGACGACTCTGTCTCAGCTTATCTTTAATGACAAGAGAGTGGAGGAGCATTTCCCATTGAGAATGTGGGTGTGTGTGTCTGACGATTTTGATGTGAAGAGAATTACTAGAGAGATCACAGAGTACGCCACCAACGGAAGGTTCATGGATCTCACCAACTTGAATATGCTTCAAGTTAATCTGAAAGAGGAGATAAGGGGGACGACATTTTTGCTTGTGCTGGATGATGTGTGGAACGAAGACCCCGTGAAGTGGGAAAGCCTGTTAGCCCCATTAGATGCCGGAGGACGGGGAAGCGTGGTCATTGTGACGACACAGAGCAAAAAGGTCGCCGATATCACCGGCACGATGGAGCCTTACGTTCTCGAGGAGTTAACGGAGGATGACAGTTGGTCACTCATCGAGAGTCACTCCTTCAGGGAGGCGAGCTGCTCTACTACAAATCCTAGAATGGAAGAGATCGGGAGGAAGATAGCCAAGAAGATCAGTGGCCTACCTTACGGAGCAACAGCAATGGGGAGATATCTAAGATCTAAGAACGGAGAAAGCAGCTGGAGAGAAGTCTTGGAAGCTGAGACTTGGGAGATGCCACCGGCTGCAAGTGATGTGTTATCCGCTCTAAGGAGAAGTTACGACAATCTACCCCCTCAGCTGAAGCTCTGTTTTGCCTTCTGTGCTCTGTTTCCAAAGGGCTACAGGTTTCGAAAGGATACACTGATCCACATGTGGATAGCTCAAAATTTGATTCAATCAACAGAGTCGAAAAGATCGGAGGACATGGCAGAAGAATGCTTTGATGATTTGGTGTGCAGATTCTTCTTTCGGTACTCCTGGGGAAACTATGTGATGAATGACTCAGTCCATGACCTCGCTCGATGGGTTTCATTGGATGAATATTTTCGAGCAGATGAAGACTCACCATTGCATATTTCAAAGCCGATTCGTCATTTGTCATGGTGCAGTGAAAGTATAACCAATGTTCTTGAGGATAATAACACTGGTGGAGATGCTGTCAATCCGCTCAGCAGTTTGCGCACTCTCCTTTTCTTAGGCCAATCTGAGTTCCGGTCGTCTCATCTTCTTGATACAATGTTCAGGATGTTGAGCCGAATCCGTGTTTTGGATTTCAGCAACTGTGTCATAAGAAAGTTGCCTTCTTCGGTTGGAAATCTGAAACATCTGCGTTACCTGGGCCTGTCTAATACGAGAATTCAAAGGTTGCCGGAGTCTGTAACACGTCTTTGCCTCCTTCAGACATTGCTACTAGAGGGCTGTGAACTGTGCAGGTTACCAAGAAGCATGAGCAGGCTCGTCAAACTGAGGCAGCTCAAAGCAAATCCAGATGTAGTTGCCGACATAGCCAAAGTCGGGAGATTGATCGAACTTCAAGAGCTGCCAGCCTATAATGTTGACAAGAAAAAAGGACATGGGATTGCAGAGCTAAGTGCAATGAATCAGCTTCACGGTGGTCTTTCCATTAGAAACCTTCAAAATGTAGAGAAAACGCGAGAGTCTCGGAAGGCGAGGTTGGACGAGAAACAGAAGCTTAAGCTCTTGGAACTGCGATGGGCTGAGGGTAGGGGTGACGGAGAATGTGATCGTGACAGGAAAGTTCTTAAAGGCCTCCGACCACATCCAAACCTGAGAGAATTGAGTATCAAATACTACGGAGGCACTTCATCTCCGAGATGGATGACGGATCAGTATCTGCCCAACATGGAAACGATTCGCCTGCGTAGCTGCGCAAGGTTGGCGGAACTCCCATGTCTCGGTCAGCTGCATCTCCTTAGACATTTGCACATCGATGGGATGTCCCAAGTGAGACAAATCAATCTGCAATTTTATGGCACCGGAGAAGTTTCAGGTTTTCCATTGCTGGAGCTCCTGAACATATGTCGCATGCCCAGTCTGGAGGAATGGTCGGAACCACGGAGAAACTGTTGCTACTTCCCTCGCCTCCATAAGCTGCTGATCGAGGATTGTCCCAGGCTCAGGAATCTGCCCTCCCTCCCACCAACACTGGAAGAACTAAGGATATCAAGAGCAGGACTAGTTGATCTTCCAGGATTCCATGGAAACGGTGATGTGACGACGAATGTTTCCCTTTCTTCTTTGCATGTTTCGGAGTGTCGAGAACTGAGATCCCTAAGCGAAGGATTGTTGCAGCACCACCTCGTCGCGCTCAAGACAGCGGCATTTACCGATTGTGATTCTCTTGAATTTTTGCCGGCGGAAGGATTCAGAACAGCCATTTCACTTGAATCATTGATAATGACTAATTGTCCACTGCCTAGCAGTTTTCTTTTGCCTTCCTCTCTCGAGCATCTAAAGTTGCAGCCATGCCTCTATCCAAACAACAATGAGGATTCACTGTCAACATGCTTCCAGAACCTCACATCTCTTTCCTTCTTGGACATCAAAGATTGTCCAAATCTGTCATCATTTCCACCGGGTCCTCTATGTCAGCTATCAGCACTCCAACATTTGTCCCTCGTCAATTGCCAGAGGCTACAATCTATTGGCTTCCAGGCACTCACCTTCCTCGAAAGCTTGACAATTCAGAACTGCCCTCGCCTCACCATGTCACACAGTTTGGTTGAGGTGAATAACTCTTCCGATACAGGGCTCGCGTTTAATATCACTCGATGGATGCGCAGACGAACAGGTGACGACGGCTTGATGCTCAGACACCGAGTACAAAATGATTCATTTTTCGGGGGACTTCTGCAACACCTCACCTTCCTCCAGTTTCTAAAGATCTGCCAGTGTCCACAACTCGTAACCTTCACCGGCGAAGAGGAAGAGAAGTGGAGAAACCTTACTTCTCTTCAAATTCTGCACATCGTTGATTGTCCAAACCTGGAGGTACTGCCTGCAAACTTGCAAAGCCTCTGCTCCCTCAGCACCTTGTACATCGTCAGATGCCCAAGAATCCATGCGTTTCCTCCCGGAGGTGTCAGCATGTCCCTGGCACATTTGGTCATCCATGAATGCCCTCAGCTGTGTCAGCGATGTGATCCACCAGGAGGTGATGATTGGCCCTTAATAGCTAATGTACCAAGAATATGTCTTGGAAGGACTCATCCATGTCGCTGTAGCACCACCTGAAGCAAGCTTATGTCATTCCTAGAGGTGCAAGTGCTTCTGCTGGTAATGCTACGAACTATCTCGACTCTGCTGCTTCCTCTGAATAGATTTTTCTAAAGCATGCCTCCCAATCTTAGTATTATCTTCTCTTTAATGAATTGCAATTCATTAGTGCTACGTGAGCAAACAAACCCTTCCTGAAATCTGCTGACTCATTTTTCATTACTTCCTTCTCCTTTGACCTTTTCTTATTAATATGATGTAGGAAGGAGTTCAGGTTGTAATCGGTTTATCAACCAAATGGATGTTCATACCAACCAGGTTCAAAAGAAATTTGTCATACATTCTACTTCCTCGTCTCTTCGACTTTTATTATGTATAGAAGTTGAGCAGATGAGCAGATGCTTCAGCAGCATCCAGCTTGTGTTCTAATTTTCTTCCTCCTCCAATCGGTTTATCTTCCTCCTGTGCATTTTTCGGAATCAGTTGAGCAGATGCTTCAGCAGCATCCAGCTTGTGTTCTAATTTTCTTCCTCCTCCTAGGAATGATGTGGGCTCCTGTCTTTTTGCAGGTTGTAGCTTTTTTGAAGAGAAGGTAGTCTATGTATGGAGATGTTTGCGATGCTTCAAGGACTTCGATTGGCTGCTGCTGGTGCTGGATTGAGGAACATTGCCATTGAATCTGATTCAGTGGAGGTCGTTAAAACAGTTAATAAGGAATCTGATCCTTCTTGGAACCAAACCAAATCAACTTAGTTGTATTTTGATCTCCTTCGAGAGCATTGTAGCTGTTCCATGTGTATAGGAAAAGGAATGGATGTGTTGATTGGTTGGCTGGCCGGGTGTGGTTAACTAAAATCCTTTTTCTTTTTTTTGTAGAGAGGCCACTGATCTGATCCTCTTGTTACTTTTTTGCGTGTTGATTCATTCATCGGTGGCTGTATTCGTCTCTTTAATTAATATATAATTTTTTTTGGAAAAAAAGAAAAACTTAGCCATGAACATCAGAATCTAGTTAGGACTTTCTTGCAGTAGACAGTTTATTTTGTTGTACATCAAGAGCCTACCGTTGCTACTGCCGGTGGCTGCAGGCGCTCGCTGATGGATAAGAACATGTAAGATAAGATGATCGAACGCCGAGTTTTCATACCGCCTTCAACTGCGGCCTCGCACTCGTCGAGAATGTTGTCAGCGTCGTATGGGCACCTTCAGATTTCTGGAGACTTGTCTTTCATCTGCCTCTCCTTTGCTTTCCTCAAACAGGGAGCGAGCCCTCATCGGTATTCTCTGAAGCCACACAGGAAATTTTGCTTGCTCTTTAACAGTAAAAAGCTTGGAGCTTTCGGGCAGCATCAGGTGTGCTTTCAAGATTCATTCCCACAGTCACCAAGTGGTCTTCTTCTATTGCGGTTATCATCATGTATCTATGATGCGTACGATGACATGAACAAACACCAAAATAGAGGTGCCCTTCTCCAAGTGTTTAGTTTACTTCTCAACACGAGATTCTGTTGACCTGCATAAGAATAATGATCAAGATAGATTTTGTTCTTAATTGGAGGCTGGAATATAAGTATTAGAAACACATCGATTAGGTGATCATCATCTTGGAACTGGGGTCATGGCCACTCAAACCAACCATTCTTTTTGAGCTAAAATTAATGAACATGAAGTGCTTTATATAGTTAGATTGGCACACAATCAATTTCATGCATATAATGCTAAAGAAACATGATAAAAGAAACTCAAGTAGAACTTTGTTAATTCATCAATAACCTTCTCTTTTGAGATTTAGGAAGTTTAGCACTGGTTTATCATGATAGCCGCCAGACATATTGCCCCTACATTTCACCATAAAAGACCAATATATAAATAGCATATAAAATAACACGTCGATGCCATAACAGCCCAGGAAAAGAAAATTTTGAGCTGCCACAAAGATATCAAAATCTCATCACAAACTGAAGATTTGAACTGGCCAACTGTGCTTACGGTCATCCGAGCTGATGCCTGAAATCTCCTGCGATATGTCTATGCTGCGGTGTTCTGAGGACCGAGCAATGCTGATGCGGGCTCTGATCCTAACAGCAGGGCTCTCTTCTGTGCCAACTGCTGCCGTAGTGCTGACAAAAGCATCAGAAGATGTCATAGTGATTGGTTCTCGAAATGTCAAGATGGTCTGAGACCAGTGAGTCCTTGGAGTGTAAGGTGAAGTAGAGAGAATGGTAGGCATCTCCTTGCAGAATCTGTTGGTGAAACCAGTATCAAACCACAGCACAATCCCATAGCAAGGACATGTTCTAGATGTTGCATTGTTAGCAGGATCTGTTCTCAGTTTCAACTCGAAGATTGCTGTGAAATCCATCTCATCTATCTTCATGGTGGCCAGATCAATGGACTGAAATTTACAATGCAATTGAAAAAGCTGTATTAGCAGCTACTAACAAAGATGAACAGTTCAATAGTATCCAGGCAAACTATTAAATGATAAAGGGTGTTTAGAAACATAATTTATCTCTCATCAGATCCTTAAATGAACTGCATTGCAGAGCCCGGTAAATCATTGACAAAAACATTATGAGGTGTCAAACACTCGACAAAGTCCAAATTCTGTTTATTTTGAATGATTCATGCATAACTCAATCAGGTGATGGTATGGTCTTGCAAGACATTAGTGCTGGATGTATCATAAATAGTTTTGTAAGGTAGAATAGTTAGATTGAAGAAGGGTGTGAAATATTTTTCAACTTTTCTTGCATGCTCATTCCTTCAGAGGCCACACAGAATATATTGATTAAACTAAAAGTGTGCTTCTAAAACTGCTGATGAGAGTCAGTAGAGGCTGAATTATGTAAAAGTTCAACTTGGACTTACATGGATAACTACTGATTCCGTCATGATATCCCGACTGTCTATTGCATCGACAATAGGAACACAAGAAGCATCCTCCATAACTTCCTTGCTAATGCAAGACATGTTAAAACCATATACATTTTCCCAGAAAGGAATGCTTGTTCCACCTCTTCCAAATCCAGCTGCGAACTACAAAAGAAAAAATATAACAGCTCAACTCAAATATCTTAAAATTGAATCAAAAATTGTTGGTTAAGATAATGCACTATTGCAGCCTTACTAAGGTTGCAGTATCTGGGAGAATGGCACCATCAGGCTTCAACCATCTATCACGTGCATAGAGAACTGAACTGAGCATGGATTCGTATAATAGGCAATAACCCATCCACTCGCTGACTAGTACATCAACACTATTAGGTGGAATATATATGTATTTGTCAAGCTCTTCAACCATACATTGCACCACATTTATTACTCCAGAATGCTGCTCTTCACCTTTCATGCTGTCCTCTGACAATAGGCCATTATCCCTAGCTATCTGCAGTAACCAAGCAATAAGAATAATCAAAGGCAAAACTAGTCTACCAAAAAGAACACTCAAGTTAAAATAATAAGTTACCTGAGTTGCGACAGCAGCCATCTTCGAGCTTGCTTCAACAGCAATTACCTTTGACGCCCCGCCCTGAGCTGCAAAAAGACTAAAAGAAGAAACACAAGGTAAACAATAAAACTATTACACAGTAATAGATACAAAGTAATAGGGCAGATTCTCAAATATTTCAGAGAGATCAACCCCATCACATATACAACAATCAGTAATAAATCTAAAGCCAATAAAATCAAAATATGGATAAATACAGCACAACAGAAACCCAAAATTTATTCCATGTAAATTCATGACAAATAATTTAAACTTTGTTGCTATTTGCAAAATCCATTGCAACCAGTTTATATTTATCATTTTTTATTATCACTGACCAAATGCTTCATTATGGGGCAAATTAAGCATGTAACTCATAAGCATACCACCTCATGTGTTTGCTTTATGGGAATCCCCATCATAAATGACATGCTTTGGAAGACTTTGAGACCAAAATTTTATCTACCATCGGCTAACCACCAGACATCACTATACACTAGTATTATGATATTTTGAATATAACTGTTCACATAATTTGAACAAAGTTTGACCTTGCTAGGGAGGGAGGGAACCAGCTGTTTTCCACAGGAGAGAAGGCTCTGGTTCCCATCCAAGACAAGATTGGAATGGCATTTGAGGACTAGAAGATTTTCCAATCGTGGCAGAAATTTTGCCTCTCTTTAAGTGGTAGGATATGGAACATGACAAATTGAGCTTTCAGGTTTGGAACAGCAGTGGCGATCACATGTGAATGACATGGAATTGTTATGCTGGGGAAAATGCACATGAACATTGCTGAAAATAAGTGTGACGGTAATAAACTTTAATAAGCAGAAAAGGCATACTGAAATAACCTAGCAATAATCAACTTTGATTTTAAGTCATTCTTCATTTCACTATTCGGCAAAAAAAAAAAAGGTATTGTGGGATAGCCAATTAAAACTAGAAAGAGCAAGGTAATCATGGTTACCTTAAGATTCCTGTGCCGCAACCAACATCCAAAACAGTAGCTCCGTTAATAAGAGATGGGTTATTTAAAAGTGCTCCTCTATAAGCATCCGTTCTTACCTGAATGTTGATATTGCATTAAACATTTTAAAACATAGACAACAAGAAGGAAAATGATCATACAAAATAATAAAAGCACTTAAGGTCCTATTTTGACAAGAGGTTGAATTATTCTTCTCCTAATAAAGGGTTAACGAAGAACATAGACAACTGCAAAATAACACACCTTGTCACTAAGCATCTCCCTATGTATACCAAAAGAGCCATAAGAACCAAAGTACTTCTCATTTACATTTTTTATTTTCCTTGCAACAACATTTGCAAGAGACACCCTTAATATCTTATCTTTCTGCTTCTGATCACACGGCTTTAGAATCATGCCGTTGGTCATCATTCCCTGAGAAATTTTATCCATGCTGTCTAGAGATGCCTCTGTATTTCCAGTTTCCTTAAAAACATCAGATATGGGAGAATCACCATTTATCATGCTTTGACCATCATTACAAAGTTTGGGTAGTTCCTCACTGGTCATTAGCTCTCTCATCATTTCTTCATCTACTGCAGGAGGATCTTCTTCCTCATCTTCATCACCAGCAAAACTATGCAGAAGTGGATCATCTACCATATATGGTTTTAAATACAAGTCATCCTCCCAGAAAAAATTTCCATCCTTTTCAAAATTAGAAGCTGGATGTAAATGGTTCTGAAGATCTCTGCTACACTGTAAGGTAAGTCCGCAACACCAACATTTGTTTTCTGCAACCTGGAAAACAGAACATATAGAAGTTGTTAGTGTCGAAACTTTTCTTTGCATTACCCTAGTTGTTCAATTAAAGCGCAGCGCAAATCTTCTCGAGCATATTGTCAGCATCAATCTTTCTTTTTTATGCTGTATTACTCATAACTAAAAGACCGAAAAAGATTATTAGCGCAACCGAAACTAAAAGGAATTGCCACTGACAGGTTGTGACAATTTCCATGAAGCGGCCAATAAATTACAGAGTCAAATACTTGCCGAACAGCAATTCACCAGAACCATTTTGACACATGTATAATCCCGGAATACAAAAACAAGACATTAAAACATCATAGTTTTAAAGATTGCAAAAGAAAATCCATTATCAAAAGCAATCAACAGAAGATTGGCTACCCACCCGAGACCTCACATAGTTGATAAGCTTGAAGGAGCCATAGAAATCTAAGCCCAACTCACGAACAACGTGGTGGAAATCAAAGGAGTGCTCGGATCGGCAGTGGTCGAACAAAATCTCCGCGGAGCCAAATCTCGAGCAACAGAACAAGCAGAGGCAACGGGAGGAAGATTCCTCCTCCTCCTCCGACTGCCAGTCATCCCATTCTTCCATCTGCTCCTCATCCTCCTCTTCCTCTTCGTCTCTTTCGTATTCTTCTACTCGTTTGGTCTCCATCACTTCTTTCCTCCGAAAGCCGCCTTCTAAAACCCTAGAGACGCTGAAAAGGCCTCTAAAATAGCACGAAACCGGGATATCTATAGCTGCGATCATCACAGTATATAACATGCGTTATAATGAAATATCGTAATTCGGCCGAATTTTTGGTGCGGGCATCAAGTAAAATAACGGCCGCTATTTAACAATATTTGGGCTCACCCTCACTGTAATATTCCTTTGAATTGATGATTTATATTTGTTTAAAGATAATAGCCACTATAATGATGGATCCGTTATAACCTGTTATGTCATACTCCGTTACAAACCCGATATATGGATCCGTTATTAAAAATGACCAGCGGCCGAAACCCCGTAGAGGGCGAGGGCGGTGGGCGTGAGCTTAAGCGACAGATGTTGATGTTGTATGCCGCTTGCAGCCAGCGGTTATCCTCTTCTCTCATGGCCTCCAAACCTCAACGCCTCCATCAGAGTTAGTACCTCCTTGAAGCCCATGGGACGTACCGTGCCCTAATCGACCAAATCCGCCTGTTTGACGAGATTGTCTGCGTTCTTTTTCCCTTCTGATTGCAGTTGCTAGCGGCGCGTCGATCCTGGGTTCCGGAAAGAAGCCGAGGGCGATGACGACGTCGACGGCAACATCTGACTCGCCCATGAGGGAGGAGTTCGCCAAATACACCGATTACCTCAACCAGCTGGTATGGTTTCCATTGTCTCTTTGCTTCCCATTCATTCTGTTTTGTGATGGTACATAGCACTATGAAAACAAAATGGGTTTAGTTCTTGAGATGTTTGGAGTCTAAAATGGAAATGCAGTACGAAGAAGTCGGGAGGCTAATGAATGTCGTCGATCCTAAGGACACTATGATTCTCCTACGTAAAAAAAATACTTGTTTTAAAAGGACACAGGTTGATATTCATTTTCTGGCCTAATATTCAGCCAAAGTTTTACACTTTCTCTTACTATTGGTTGAAAATATAGATGCCTAGTTAAAATAGTTTGGTTCTCTCCTAGCTATTCTTTGCGACAGAATCTGAATATTCGTTATTAAGTCAATGCTGGACCTTAATATGGGGCAGGTGCTGTAGTGCATGGTGTTGAAATTAAGATTATATCATGTTAGTATGCGCTGCACAGTGCACATGGTCAGAACTTGAACTGGACAACGAAGATCAAGTAGCTCTTTTTTATTTTTGTTGTGGAGTTGGACTGGAGCAATAAGTTGAGTCAGGCTTGTTAGGTCGAATTATTTTTTTCTTACTTTTTTTATTTTACATTTCTGTATGATTTTCCAATAAGCTATTTACTAGCTGTTTTCTTCCCTCAGTTGTATGTTTCATAAATTTAACATGTGGTGGGGTGAAACCTCTCTTGCCTGGAAGCAGTAGCTCTTACTAGGATATTATTAGGTCTGTAAAGTTGCCTAGCATGGTGTACCAAGAGCATTTTGATCACTTGGTGATCATCGAAGCTAGGAAATAGGTTGACCTACTTGCATGTGTTTCAAGAATCAAAGATAACTATTAATCTAGCTCTTTATCATTGACTAGCTGCCATTTGGTACAATTTTCATGCTCAGTGAATTTCTCAAAGCAATCTTTTAGTCAGCAGATGTGTTGGTCTATGTAGCTTTGTATTTTTTGCTTGTGACATAGTTTGAGTTGTAGATATATTGTTGAGATTGTCCTTTAAGATTTGTTTCATTGGCATTGTAGAATGACAAACGGGAGAGAGTTGTCAAGGCTAGTCGTGATGTGACAATGAACAGCAAAAAGGTCATATTTCAGGTGCATAGGTAAGATATGTAACAGATTTATGACTTCTATTGCCTGTACAGCAGATTCTACATCTATGGATTTATGATAATACTTGTTATGATTCAATGCTTCATGTTTGTTTTGGCAAGCAACATGTTTGATAAAAGTTCAAACTCGTAGGGCCAGCTATTACTTAAGTCATTTGTTATGGACCATCAACAATAATTCAGTGGAGTCTGTACTGACATATGTACTTGTCAGATGCTGAGAGGAGCATAATAGTCAAAATAACTAACTAGCTAGTAACAATATAAAATTAATATCCCTTTAATTTGATTGAGTTTTGTTCTTATTTTACAGCTTATATATGACTCTCATGATTGTATTTACTTGTCAGTTATACCTCATTACCCTCCATGACTGTAACTCTCAGATGATGCTTATTTATGTTGGGGAGTCAAGGAAATTACCTTCCTATGTGGCTGCTTCATGATCTTCTGCTATGTGTCATGACCCTTGTATTTTTTGTGCATGCTTTTTATTTTTATTGTTTCTTTCTTTTCATCTAACTACAAACAGAAGTGCTTTGTAATTATCATCCTCCATTTTTTTTATATGATTTTGATCCTATTGCTTCTCTTTTTGTCAGAATGAGTAAAGGTAATAGAGAAGATGTGTTGGCAAAGGCAGAAAATGATCTTGCTGCTGTGACTGATCAATATATGTCAAAACTAGTGAAGGAGTTGGATGGGACTGATTTTTGGAAGCTTAGACGTGCCTATACATTTGCTGTTAGCTTCTGTGTGCCCTTTTGTTTTGGTCCTTTTGTGATCATCTCTTAATGCTTACATTTTGTAGGTCCAAGAGTATGTTGAAGCTGCAACACTTTGTAGATTTTGCAAGGCTGGAACACTACTTAATCTTGCTGAGATTAATGCTTCTTTGCTTTCTCTTAGTGATGAGTCTCTTGAGCCTTTACAAATAAATGTTCTCGACTACCTCCTGGGGGTTAGTTCTAGTTTGTCTTAACAGTTTCAACTTTCACTCATGTATCTACCAAAATTCTTGGTGACAAAGGGCATCTTAGACTTTATCTATTTTCTTTTAGCTTGCAGATTTGACTGGGGAGCTTATGAGACTAGCCATTGGTCGTATTTCAGATGGAGAGGTTGAATATGCTGAGAAGATTTGTAGATTTGTACGGGATATATACAGGGAGTTAACCCTTCTTGTACCTCTTATGGATGATAACTTCGAGATGAAGAAGAAAATGGATACAATGCTTCAAAGCCTAGTGAAGATTGAAAATGGTAATCCTTTGTTTTTTGGTTTCTGTTTTCAAGATATCTTATATCTTATTATTTAAAACTTGTCATCCTTGTCTGCTTTATCATGGGAATAAAAAAATAGATCAAAGACAAATAAATGTTTGGTCTTTGACTTATATCAACTAGCAAAGTTTGAAACTTGGGTATAAAAGAATTGTGTTCCTTATAAAGTTGGATATAATTGTTGTAGGGAGTTCTGAATCCAATACTATCTAAATAATATTTCAAGCTTTCAAGCTCACAAAAAATACTTTGCGATAGCACCATTGAGCATGCAATTATTTTTACTGATCCATATTTAAGAACATAGCTGACATGGTTACATTTCAAATAAATGGATGTTAATTTGCACTTTAGCCTGCTTATTAACTGACATTGTGTTTTAAAATATTTACTTATTTTATAAGACAATTGTTAGGTCAATAATGTTTTATGGAATTGAGTATTTGGTGGGTAAGAAACAATATATATAAAAAGATTGTGTTATTGAGATAAGAATATAGATGTGGATATATGGAGTTACTAATAGAGTTTTTAGGAAGATAGGATAAAAATTATTCATTTGTAAATAATTAGGTATCGCTTGAATAGAAAATGCTGTGATGAGAGTTAGAAGATGTGAACTGATTACTATTAGTGATATTAGTTGTGTGATGAGAGTCAGAGGAAATTAAAAGGACTTTAGTAGAAAGCATAAATAAATATTTAAATATTTTTAACTTAACTAAAGATATGGCTCTTTAATCGATTAAGATCTATGTTCATGAGATTTGACAGAGTTTTACTTTGGTTATCAGTGACCTATGTAACCCTCCACCTTTTTTATTTGGCCTTGGGATCGACATTGGCAGTGTTTTCGATTATAAACTTGCTGATGATATTGTCTTAGTTGTTGACCTAACGCAACCCTTTACCTTACTGAAGATAAACTTGTTGACCTAATGTAATCCTTTACCTTTTTCATTTGGTTGTTAGTAACCTAACACAACCCTCCACCTATTTTGCTGATGATATTATCTTAGTTGATGAGAGCTTAAGTTATGGAGGCAAGTCTTAGAAACTCAAGGTTTTAGATTAAATAGGACTAAAATTGAATATATAAAATGTTATTTTAATGATTCTAGGAATAGACAGGAGAATATAGTTAAGTTGGATGAACGAGAAGTCTCTTAGAGTAAAAAATTTAGGTATCTTGGATAAATTATTCAACAAGATAGAGAGATCGATGAAGATATTATTCATAGAATAAAAACAGAATAGTTAAAATAGTGAGTGGTGTTAGGAGTCTTGTGGGATCATTGGATACCTTAGAGATTAAAAGAAAAATTTTATAAGACAGTTATGAGACCAATAATACTTTATGGATCTAAGTGTTGGACAGTTAAGAAATAACATATACAAAAAGATTTTGTTGTCGATATGAGAATGTTGAGATGGATGTGTAGAATTATTAGGAAAGATAGAAAAAGAAATATTTTTATTTGTGAACAACTATATATCGCTTCGATAAAGGATAAGATGAGAGAAAATCGTTTAAGATAGTATAAGCATGTGTTTAGAAGACTTCCGGATATGGTAGTCAGAATAGATGAAATAATTAATGTTAGTGGTACGAGGAGAGATAGAGGAAGACCTAAATAGATTTTAATAGAAACTATAAATAAATATTTAAGTACTTTGAACTTAACTAAGCATATGACGAATCTTAATGGTGGCAAAAGATCTATGTAGCCGACCCCCGAATAGATGGGAGTTACACCTTTGTTGTTGCTATTGTTGAAAGATTTGACTCTTTACATATCTTAATGAAAGCAAAAGTCAATCCAAAATATTTGAAATGTTACAGCTTTGTTCTTCTTGTGGTTGAATGCCTCTTGGGAAAATTTTTCAACTTGGGAGCCATTGTCAATTTGATGTTAGTGTAGAATAAAAAATCTTGTAATTTGAAACTGATTATAATGGAAGTTGCTTATGGATAACTGTCAGCAATACTACTAAGCTGGGCCTTCTATTAGCATATTAGATCATTCCCAGCTTGATAGATTTAGGGGAAAAAATCTGAAGGTTTGCTTAAATAATTTTATATAACTTAATTGAGATGAACTTCCTTCTGCTTCCAATCTTTTTGTATGTGGATTAACAATTTTGTTCAACATGAACAATGTTATCTTTTTTGGTTATAGTGCATCCATGAACTGGTATGTATGACTATGGCAAAAAATTGTCACATATCTTGTTCTAGCAAGTTTCACAGCTTATACTATTTAACTTTTACACATCTTCTTTTTGGATAAGCTTCAGGAAGCCATTGCAAGCTTTATTTTCGAATTGCAAATTATGGAATTGAACAACATCAAGACTAATTTTATCATCATGTTGCTTTGGCATTTATCAGCAAGTGTCCACATTTTTGCATGGCATTAATGATTGTGTAACAAATGTTTAGAATTTTGTTGGTAACATATAAAACATGATTGAACTAGTATGGAACATTTATTATATAAAATTTAACTAGAAAGATATAATGGAGGTTTCTGCAGTGTGATTGTCTCTTATGAGTGCTCCAGCTGTTCATTAGAAGATTAAGAGTATTGTCTTTACTTGAAAACTACTACTGTTTTTAATGATTGTGTAACAAATGTTTAGAATTTTGTTGGTAACATATAAAACATG